TGGTCAGTGCTGGCCTATAGCAGCGGAGTTTGGTATACTCTGCCCGCCAGCTGTGTTCCATTGGACATAGAAGCAAATCATGGAAAACCAGGGTGTGTTGCTAAAAAGCGAGCTGTCTAGAAGGTAAAGAGCACCTGGTCAAAGCCAGGTTGTTTTAGAAGTGCTGTCAAAACCAAGTGAAGTATAATATGACGCAATCAAGCCTCATGAGGGTTTGGGGCCTGTCAGCAACCAAGCAGAGGGCTGTCTTCAGTCTGCTGGCCTCAGGAGAATGGTACGTCTCTTTGGACGGAGCATGGACTTGACATAGGGTGAAGCTTCCTGGTTACCCTTTCCATTTAATTTTGCAACTTTAGCTCATCAGTAAAGTCAGGATGATGAGATTCTCTTTTTGGAAGTTGAATGTCGACATTGTGAATGTTCCCAGATACGAGAACTTGGAGATAAAGCCTTCATCTGAAAGGTGTTAAGCTGTGTACAAGGCAGCAGCCATGGCTACCAACAAATGCCCTTCAAAATTTGCATTTGTCAGCACTCTTCTTAGGATCACCCCTTCTTCCCAGACTATGTCAAGCAATCACTTCAATATGATGCCTTCATATACTAATGAAATTTTAAACTCATACCAGTGGACTCCCTGAGTGGCACGAATAGTTAACCCTTGGCGACTAGCCCAGAGATTGATGCTGTAAACTCGGAGAGGTGACTCAGGAGATAGGTTTGGAAAGACAGCAGTATGCAACTGAACCAACCAGTAAGTACTGCGAAGAAAGTAAAGCAAAGTAATGAGATGAAGAAGGATTGCAAACAGAGGTTGGCTGCTTTCTATAGGTCATTCTAGAAAGCACGGGACATTGAATGGAGACCTAAGGGATGAGAAAGAGCCAGCCTGTGAAGGTCCAAGTTAGAAACCTGGTTGCTGACAGGCCCCAAATCCTCATGAGGTTTGATCGTGTCCTCTTACACTTCACTTGGTTTTGACAGCACTTCTAAAGCAACCCGGCTTTGACCAGGTGCTCTTTACCTTCTAGACAGCTCGCTTTTTAGCAACACACTCTGGTTTTCCATGATTTGCTTCTAAGGTCCAATGAACGCTGCTGGCGGGCAGAGTATACCAAACTCCGCTGCTATAGGCCAGCGCTAATAAACTTTCAGTCCTTGGTAAACATATGTCATCATGTCTTACATATGGCTTACTTGATATAGAAAAGACTGGCATGTAGCAAACGGGTGGCTGTGGGATGGGGACTTGCTGAAATGCTTTATCTTCAGTTGTCCTGGAGAGCCTTTAAGATCCTTTAAATACCTCAGGCATTCAGGTGTTCTTAATTTGAGTCACTGTTTTCATTGATTGGACTTCTTTGTGCTTGCATGCATGCCCTTGGCAGTGTAGACCAGTTGCCTCTTTATTGAACATTATCATAAGTGATCATGACCCTGAAAATGTAATTCAGTTGTGTGTCTGTTCTAAGATAGATTAAGTGATAATGTGAAGATCAGATATTATAACTAGATTTCAAGGCATTTCGTTTTCCATGCTGTGTTTACAGAAATTGATTTCTGCTGTTTTTCTTAATCAAGCCAAGATTTAATAATTGAGGGGATCATATAAATCATTGAGATGATCACTTATCATGAAGTTATTATAAACCAGGAAGAAGCGCTTAATTTTTAATTCTTATATAACTACATCATGGTAATGGACTTCTGTTTTCAAACAAAAAGAAAATATGCTTGTGCTCACATTTCCCAGAGCCTAGTTATTTGTATTATATGAATTATAAATAGTAATGTTTTATTATTCTTGTTGCCATATCGTGTTTCGGTGTTTTCTTAGTTGATAAAATAGTTCCATTCCTAATCCAGAGTTTACAACCTCAGCTAATGTCTTGGTATTTATGTCATTGATGGTAAAAATCAGGACTTTTGCTTTTGAGTTATTTGCTTATATCATTAGAAAAATACATATAATGTTAAATATTTATTTCATGGGTTTTTTTTACACTTCTATCAGTCAACTATGCTGAATTTGCTCTCAGCTTTCGTTAAAGGAATGAAGTTTAAAAGATTTCAGTGACTTGCTTATAATTGCAGCGTATAATGTATCAAGAATATATGCTCAATATCATTCATTTTCTCAACCACTTAGTGCCCCAGAACTAGCCCCCATACAATGGTTGTATTTGAACATAAGTTTAGAGACATTATAACATGGTTGTGAACAGTCAAGGTGTTCTATGGGAAACCTGAATTTTAGTGTAGGAGTGTTCGTGTGTAACAGTGACCCAGCTAGGCTATGTAATCTCTCTTAGCTAAACTGTTTCCTCACCTGCACAGCGGTGATGAAAATCTTTATATTTGAGGACTCTGAAAGTATTAAATGGAATAAAGAGCACAATTAAGTGAGTTTTAGTCATTTTTTCTAAGAGACTACACAGCTGTTTGAAAAACTTTGGTTTAAAAGGTGCTGTGAGAAAGTTAACAAATCAGCAGTTCCCAGTGATTTTTCTCCATACTATATACATGCACACACACATATAGTGTACTATAATCTAACACCCCTGCCCCCTTTTGCTAAGCCTCTGTTATTAGAAGTATGTTAAAAACAACACTCATCTAGTTTAAATGGTCATTTTTCCTCCCTCTGACTAGTGGGATATAAAAGAAGGGTGAATCTGATCATGGATATTTAGATTCACTGAAATGGGGGTGACACATAGCAATTTTTTTTCTTCAGAAGGCAGTGGCGTGTAGTGTTCGGGCATAGACTTCAGCTGTTTATAAAACCCATTCCTGGTGGGTGTAAACCTCCAATATTGTGGGTAGCAACTAAATACTGCACCCACTTATACCAATAGGGCTCCTTTGGGGCATATGTGGATTATATCACATTCTCTGGACCTCTGTTGGGCTTCATCCTCTTATTTGGAAAATGAAGACCAATCTTATGACTTTGTTGATTTTTTAAGTGTTAAATTTAGAAAATACATATACATTTTCTTAGTAACCTGTCTAACACAGAATTGTTAAATGTACTGGTAGACAGGATTATTACTATGGCCTTTTTTTATTTTTAATTAATGTTAATCTGTGACTAAGGAGAGCCTGAGGCTAGAACCAGGTCTGACACAAATCCAACTTCAGAAATTTAACTCAAAGTATTTCACTTCTCTCTCATTTTCCTGTTCTGGAAAAAAGAATGTTTGGACCCCAGACTTTATGATTTTATAATTAAAAGCCTTAACATACTGTGACCATAAAATGATTATTTGTTTCTTTCAGTTTGTGGGGACATCCATGGACAGTTCTTTGACTTGATGAAGCTCTTTGAAGTGGGGGGCTCACCTGCCAACACTCGCTACCTCTTCTTAGGGGACTATGTTGACAGAGGGTACTTCAGTATCGAAGTAAGTTCTCCTCATTTCCTCGTAGTTGCTTAGTTATGGATCAACAATATCTTACTAAAATAAAGAGTGATAAATATTATGACCATGTCTAGAAAATCTCTAGTTTATGTAATGAACTTTATTATACGTAAATCATGGAATATTGCATATCTTATTTGTTCTTGATTCCTACTGTTTGGTAGTGCATGAGGATGCCAGAAAAATGCCTAATAGTAAGCCCTGTCTTTTTATATCTTTCCCAGTTTCCACCACCCAAGAATGCGTCCTATTCTATATTATATTTTTTCTTATTCCTTACTCGCAGAATGAAAATAAATATAATTAGGAACATGCTTGAAGGTTTATGTCTTATAATTATGAGGCAGTACATTATCTGAAATTCATAACACCTTGCATGTAGACACGGTCTACACATGTGTAACATCACCACCTGCATTGGTGTCTAGATAAGTAGAAATTACAATGGAAATGGAGACAGGAACCTTGTTTTATTCATGCTTGTTCTCTGTGGTGCCAAGCAGGGGCTCTCATACATTTTGGGCACTCATTTACTATTTCTTGAAAGAAATGCTTTAAATGACAATAAGTTTTAAAGCATCAGTGTTTATAGTACTATCGCTGACATTATATGTACTATCAATTAAAAAACTTATAAAAGAGAGAGAAAATATTCTTTAAAATAGAAGATATTATCATGGACTTTACACTCTGATATCACATATTTATAATAACCATTGTATATTTATGCCATAATACTTTATTTATAATAGGAATATTTAGTATTGAAAAACATGTCATTTTAAGCATCATTGGAAAAAAATATTTCAACCAATATGATAGTCATTTCTAGACTTAAATATCATAAATTTCCTAATGATTCATGATGATGAAGAGAAGGTATATAAATTATATAGTAAGAACTCTGGTGTATATCACTCAGTTGGTAAACAAGTACTGTATGTGTATAATATATATGAGTGTGCCTTATGACTAGGATTGTAGGGCATATGATGGAATCGCTATCTGTGTCTCTAGAAATCCGTGGATGGTATGAAAGGGTCTCCGCAGTCAGCAGTCTCAATCCGGTGGTCCCCGGATTTACTTACTTTAATTGATTATTTAAATTTTATAGTAGACGCTAGAAAATAATTATCATTGGGATACAGAAAAGTCAGAGGATTTTGAGGGTTCATGTGTTTTCGGAAGAATGAATCAAAGAACAAGTAAGATTTTGCTAAGAAGGAAACTATTAGGTGCTGA